GCTCCGCTCGTGCCCAGAGGCACAGAAATTCCAGTAAATCCTCGTGGGAGGAGTTCTCCGTTTACTGTTACCATATTGGGAACTTGAGTTTCACTTTGGGGTTTTGTTTGTTTCTTTATCCGCTCTTCTTTTCCTCGTAGACTAGGTTTATTTATCTGAGCAATAACTTCCATGTTGTTTCAGTGGCTGGAATTAAAACAAAACAAACTTCCGAACAGCGTGTTGGTGTTGAGCATGTGGCTGGTTGGCCTGCGGAGCGCCCGTGTCGGACCGGTGTCGGTCCGGTGTCGGACCGGCGTCCCCGATGAGCTGGTGACCTAGAAAGAGTGCTGAGGGCTGCCCAGCATGGCTGTCTCTGCCGCGCCCGCCCCCCTTTTGGTAGCTGGTATCACATGAGGCGATGGCTTTGTGGATGAGTGCTTGGTTCTGCGAGAGCCACCAGACCACCGCCCTTCTCGCTCCGCCCGGGGCACGTGCGCTGGCCTCTGCCCAGCCGGGCTGCAGCGGCCGTGGGCGGTGCTGCTCACACTCAGGGCCGTGGCCCCATCCCAGTCCCCCAAATGTCAGGATAGGAGCGGCATCTGACGCCTGCTTCCTCAGAGCGGGCGGGTCGCTCCCAGATCCGGAGTCCGTGCTCCGTGCAGGCGTGGCCTCTCGTTACATGTGAGCTGACGGGGAACCGGGTGCCGTGTCAGGGACCCTCAGGGCTTGGAAGCAGGGTGTCACTTGGTCCGACAGGTGCTGGGCCCACAGACAGACAGACGCTCCAGGTGCCGTCTGGATACGCGGTTTGGCCTTTTTCAATGTCCACATCCTTAGCGCCCCGGCCCTGGGGCAGGATGCCCGCTGCCCACGGCATTGGGACGAGAGGGATACTGAGGAAGCTGTGCTGCAGAGAGCGTCTGCCCACCTGGCACCCGCTCCCGCCCACCAGCTCTTGTTCACCTGTGGGTTGTACCCAGTCCCGGCCAGAAGCACCTGTGTTTTTGCGGGGAGGGGGGGGTCTGCCTCACTGACGAGGGGAAAGCAGGAGTGAGAGCCACGGGTCTCTGATGCTGCTGAAGGTCACTCTGCCCGACCTGGATCCCAAGGCCTCTCTCTCGTGGCTGTTTCTAGTTCAGGGCACTGCCTTCCAGCCGGCGCCTGGGGTGCCCAGGACGACTGCAGAGGGCTGTTCCCGGAACACCGTGTGTTGAGGGTTCACTGTGAGGCCAGGCTGTGTCCCACAGAAACGCCTGAACACGGGGACGAGAGCAAACACCGCTGCCTTTCCCTGTCGGTCCTCAGCTCTGAGGGGAGCGGCTGTGAGGAGCCTGCACCCAGGGTCATCGGGTAAAGAACCTGGTGGGCGCAGGCCCCCCCCCCCCCCCAGCGTCCAAGTCAGACTCCGGGCATTTCTCTCGCAGCCTCCGGCCTGAGGGAGTCGCTAACGGGCTGTGGGAGGCCGGCTGCTGGCACCTTCCTCCCAGCTTCCCAGGAGGCTTCTGTCTGAGGTTCGAGCCAGCGCAGCCTCCTGCAGGGGAGCCGGTAGAACCGAGTCCCCGCTTCATTCCGCCGCCACACGGAGCTTAGAAAGGCGAGAGGGGAGGATGCTGAGATTGTGGATCTCGGACTCGAAGCCCCATGTTGGGGAGAAGAGCTGAGGACACAGCGAAGATCCCGGAGCACAACACGGGGGCGCACAGCCTTGCCCGGCCCTTAAGCCTCCGCTTCCCTAGATGGGGGGGGGGGCGGGTTACGGGGAAAGAGCCGCCCAAACAACATTGTTCAAGTAGGAACTTACATCAAGGAAAACTGCTGTAGACCCATTTCCAAAGCTTAAGGAGTCGGTCTGTAAAGCGTGTGTTTCACTTCTTTACGGAACAGCTGTGCCTGCTCCCGTGGCCGCAGGCGAACGCGGCCACACTTTGATCTTCAGGTGAACGTCGGAGCCAGCAGGAGCCGGGCCGCTCCTGTTGGTTCTGGGTCCCTGTACCAGGACGCAGGGCTGGCGTGACGGGCGTGGATGTGTCCTGCGCTGGGACAGGAGGGGCAGACACGTGATCTGTCCCAGGTGAGTGAAGCGAAGGGCCTGTTCTTTCTTCCCTCGGACGGGAAAGTAGAGAAATTCAAAAATTGCCTTTCTGAGGAAACCAAGTTCCTTGCTCTATTTAAAGCAAGTGCCAAAGACACCCCCTCTTCCCAAGGAAACCGAGCTCCTGGCAAACATCCCTGGTTACAACCTGCCCTTGCCAGTACTTTTCCGTAGTTCTAGTAGGAACACGGACAGAGCAAGTCCCCTTTGCCCAGGCTTGGGAGAGGAAGGGTGACCAAGGATGAAAAAGACCCGTGTAGCCCGTCTGGTGTTGCTCAGTGGTTGAGCATTGACCTATGAACCAGGAGGTCACCGATTCCCCGTTCAATTCCCGGTTGCAGGGTCTACCTCCAGTGGGGCGTGCAGGAGGCCGCCGCTCAATGGTTCTCTCTCATCATGGATGTTTCCCTCCCTCCTTCCCTCTCCTTCCCTCTCTGAAATAAAAATTTATAAAAATTCTTGCCCTCGCTTTAGCCAGTTTGGCTCAGTGGATAGAGCGTTGGCCTGCAGACTGAAAGGTCCCAGGTTCGATTCCGGTCAAGGGCATATGCCTGGGTTACGGGCACATCCCCAGTGGGGAGTGTGCAGGAGGCAGCTGATCGATGTTTCTAACTCTCTATCCCTCTCCTTCCCTCTCTGAAATAAAAATTTATAAAGATTCTTGCCCTCATTTCATTGGCTTATGTAATAATTAAAGCAGTCACTATAGAAGAACGGCTGTTGCAGAGCTCGGAACAAATACCACGGGACAAATACCACGGGACGGGTGAGACGAGAGGAGGCTGCGGGTGCTGGGCGGGCCCGGGCCAGGGTGAGTTCTCAGAGGAAGTGAGCTGGTCCGGAGGGAGGGGAAGCCCGGGTCTGGTGCTGGCAAGGCCTCGAGGCTCCCAGGGGATGCTTGGAGCTCCTGGACGGCCCAGCCACTTCCAGCAGACGTGGGATTCTGCTCTTCTCAACGCTGCTGGTAAGGGGTCACGTGGCTAGTATCCGTTTCACTAGAGAGGCAGCCGGTGCTAGCGGGGGGCTCTGCAATCAGGAGAGGAGACTGACCTGGGCTGCACCTTGTTCTAGGGGAGCCCGTCTCCAGGGCTGGGCTGGCTCCTTGTTGCAGGCTCTGGGTTTCGACCCGACCCGAGCACATGGGATCCCCGAGCTGGGGAGCCGGCTTCATGCCTCTCCCTGCCCACTCCTTTCGTTCCCAGACACAGTGGGCAGTGTGGCTTGGGGCCACAGCCACCAGTAGGTCACGTGCTCTTTTTGTGGCCCCGGTTGTGAGGCCCTTGTTCTCTAGAGGAATCTAGCGGCCGTCTCCAGCCTCAGTGACCATAGTCACAGGGCAAAATGCCTTAAGTGTCCCCCTCCGACCCTGAGGACAGATGACCAGTGCCCTGTTCCACGGCATCGCTGGTGGGCCTGACTCCATCTCATTCCCATCCCACTCCACTGGCCCAGGGCCCCCCCCCCATATTCCTCAGGCACAAGAGGAAACAGCTTTGGGTGGGAACCGTCCAGAAAGGAGGCCGTTTCGGGAGGGCCTGAGATGGGGGTGTGCCTGGATAGAGGCTGGGCTGGAACTTATTTCCGAGGAGCCTCCCCGAGCCATGGCTGAAGCCAACTGGCTGCCACTCCAGGCTTGGCCACCAGAGGGCACCATGAGTCCCCGCAAGAGCCATGGATCTTCCTGCCACGGGGTTTGTCTGGCTTAGGCCGTTCACCAGGTGACCCGTTACTGATGCGGATTCTTTCCAATAGACGGAGTCGCAGGTATGTTGACATAGATGCGATTTGATATGGATGCTATTGTGCTGTATTGACGACAAGCTTCACAACTCCATACGTCGAATTTGCTGAAGGTGTTAGCATCATAGATGTTTTTACGCTTAAAAATGCCGAATTTCATGCCAAAAAAGAGCATTTGCAGGAAGTTTTCATTATTTTGAAGAAAAGTGCTAGTGATGGAATTGCTTTGATTAAAGCACTTTTGATGTTTCTCTTGAAATCATCGTGTTTTCGTTGATTACAAAATCCGAATTATTAACCGGTTAACATTCCGCATGACTAACCAACTGGTCAACAGCAAATCCGCATGACTAACCAGTTAACAATTACTTGAAATCATCGTGTTTTCGACAATCCGCATGACTAACCGGTTAACAATCCGCATGGTTAACCAGTTAACAATCCGCATGACTACCCGGGACACCTAGAGGGGGTGCGTGTAGGCAGCCGTGGGTGCGTTTAGGAAACCCGGACTGCATCCCCTTCCTGACCACCACCTCCCAGCCTTGGCCTTTGAGTAGGTTTATTGATGGGAAGAGTAGGGGGGCTGCAGGGAGAGGCTGGCCTGGTCGGAGGGCAGGTGTGGTGCCCCGGAGCCGCCTCAGAGGAGAAGGGCCAGGAACCTGCGGGA